GGAAGTCCGGGGACGGTCCGGTAGTCCGGGCCCGGACGTCCGGGTAGTTTTTCTTCGACCACTAATCTGAAAATCTCATGCAGATGAATTTTTTTCTCCTTTTTATTCAAAAAAAATCGATTCTATCTATTTTAAGATCATAAAATTTTCATATACATAAGATTTAAAGAATAAAAAATGTACTTAACTGAAACGAAATTAAAAATACGTAAAAATATACTTACCGATTTCACTGATGGCTGTGAATAATATTTCTTTCTTATGTGTTTGATAGATTTATCTATTTTGAAGTTTGAAATAGAGGAAAAATGCAATAATTTTTATCTGTATTAGGGTAAACAGATAAAGAAAGTGGTTTCGAAATTTTAAGTGAAAAGTGTTTGAAACTTTTTATAACTTAAAAAGGGTATTATAGTCTTTTAAAAAATACCATATTTTTATAATTGTATAATATTTTAAGGGTAATTTTGTCTTTTAAGCATTTTAAGACTATTGTTGTGAATGTCAAGGAATTTTGGGCAAAGTAGAAGATGACATGTTTGACAAAGGCAATCTTAAAAGCACCCCCGAGAAAATTACCCAAAATAGTGCATTTTAAGTCTACATTTCAAATATCAAATCCTAAAACTTTTCTTTTCAGGGGTTAATTCATCTTTTGTTAAAAATAATATTATAAAATTAAAATTTAATCCAAATATTCAACCCCAAATATCATTTCTAACCCTATCTTCTCTCTCTCTCTCTCGAAGCTTACTGGCTCCCCAGCTCACGAGTCCCCCGTCGATAAGCTAGTCGAGGCCACCAAGCTCCCTGCTTCAAAGGATCCGGCCTCCGCCCTTGGCTCAGATTATCAACCGTCCGTCGCCTTTGGCCTAGGTCCCGACTTCCGGTCTTGACCCGCCCCAAAATGATAGGTTAGCCCGAGGTCAACGGGCCGTGCAACCATTCTCACCGCTTTCGCCGCTTCCGGCTGTGCACGCATCAGCTAACCATTCTGACTCGGTCTCCTCTTACAAAGGCATATCAAATACAACCAGCAAGTACATAGAGGTATCCTTGAAGTGAGAATTTGTCAATTAATATCACATTGTTAATGTTTTGTTCTAAGTATTCGTCATAAAATGTGTAGGACAAGAGAGTGAATTGGCATTCAACTCCATTCGAGGTGAGATTGGAGAAAGCTCTTGATCGACGTGTTGTAGAAGCCTAATATACCCAATTGCATTCTACAGAAGAAAGATGAATTGAGATTTCTGTTATAGTTTGTGAATTTTATGCATTTGTTTGTTGTACTTGCTCATACTTTTTTTATTGTTTGTGAGTTTTGATATGGTTTATATGCGATTGTTTTTTTATTGCAATAATTTAATCAAACTCTGTTTTAATTGTCGATGGAATTGATTGATTACTTATTTATTTTCTCTTATTGCTATCAAAAAATTACCATTCCACTGTCATCTTTGAAGTAGAACTCCTTGCTATAATCTAAGAAACAAATCTTTGAAGGTGGTAGTGGTGGTGCATAGAAGAGTTTTAGTTGAACGTCAGTTCGAAATTCATTGGCATGAATTTGAGTTGAAAGAGGTAGTGGTGATTCATTGTTATATGTTTATTGTGACTGGTTGTGACCAATTTTGTGTTAATTGTGACCGATTGTGACTGATTGTGACCAATTTTGTGTTGATTGTGACTGATTGTGACTTGAGATTGACCTAGTCACAGACAGTCACACTGAACACAAATTTGGTCACAGTTAGTCACATTGAATACAAATTTGGTCACA